TGCTATAATATATATATATATATATATATATATATATTTAAATTTTTTAATTTATAAAAAAAAATTAATAACACTCCATAACATATCAATGTATGATGAACTAATTAGACAACATATTAATCTTGGACTATAGATAATTTAATAGATAATTTTTCTTTATATATGGACACCTCAGCCGGAACAAGTATTAAATTGAAGCATGAAAAATTAGTTTAATAACTAATCACCAACTATAGGACATCAAATTCCACGTATCATTAAAGATGTTAAATTGACAGGAGGACGCGAAAGATATCCTATACTCCTATATGATAATAAAGTACATAAACGAAAGTAACTCAGCACGTACGTTGAATTTATTTATATATTTAAGATGCTTGTTGATCAAGACGTCGAAGACTTTCTTCTTCATTAGTCTAATCGGTGATAATTAATCAGCGACTGGCGGCGGCTTTTTTGGAACCGATCAATTCCTTAATTCTTAGAGACTGCGTTGTCCTTTACATTGCATTCAATACTATCATGACTGCGCTACCTTAATTTATTGCAGCAATGTGCTTCCATTCCAAGAATTGATGACGGTAGTAATAAATTGCACTCTCATGAAAGGGACGCACTAACGTAGTTGAGTATAGCAGAAGGGATAGTCATTAGTCTCGCACAACGTTGGGAACTAAGATGAAAGTTCGACACAAAGAGACGTGGCGCGCGCGATGCCAATTCCCATGCAATATATATAAAACCGAATTCCCACCCAAAAGAACGAACCCCAGCGACGATGTCACGCTTAAGCATCATTATCGTAGTCATAGTTGCAGCCCTATCACTCACTCCAGCACTCTCTGATGAACTATGCAACCCGCGAGACAAGAAAGCGTTACTCCAATTCAAGAAAGACCTCGGCAACCCAACAACGCTCTCCTCGTGGCTCCCGAATACGGATTGCTGCAACCCCGAATGGGACGGTGTCTTATGCGACACAGACAACAAAACATACCGCGTCAACCAACTCTACCTCACTAACCTTAACCTCTCCAAACCATACCCTATTCCCTCCTCCGTTTCGCGCCTTCCCTACTTGAATCTACTCTACCTCACCACCACCCCCAACCTCCTCGGCCAAATCCCCTCCTCCATCGTTAATCTCACCAAACTCCACTATCTCTACATCACCCGCACCTCTCTCTCCGGCCAGATACCCCAATTCTTGTCGCACATGAAAACCATCGTCACCTTCGACTTATCCTACAACAACCTCTCCGGCACACTCCCTCCCTCCCTCTCCTCTCTCCCCAACCTCCAAGGACTCGCCTTCGACGGCAACCGGATCACCGGCCCAATCCCCGACTCCTACGGCTCCTTCTCCCACAAGTTCACGTCGCTGACGCTCTCCCGCAACCGCCTCACCGGCGAGATTCCGGCGACGCTGGCCGATCTGAACCTCACGTTCGTGGACTTGTCTCTGAACAAGCTCGAGGGTGACGCGTCGGTGTTGTTTGGGTCGGATAAGAACACGCAGGAGATAAATCTGGCGAAGAACTTGCTGGAATTTGATTTCGGGAACGTGAAGTTGTCGAAGGACTTGGAGAGCTTGGATATTAGGAACAACCGTGTGTATGGGACGCTGCCTAAGGGGCTCACGGCGCTTAAGTATCTGAGTAGGTTTAACGTGAGCTACAATAATCTGTGTGGTGAGATTCCACAGGGTGGCAACTTGCAAAGATTTGGCGCCTCTTCCTACGCTCATAACAAGTGCTTGTGTGGCTCTCCTCTTCCTTCCTGCACTTGATTACTTTACAGTTACACTCTGTGGGTAATATATATGGATATATATATATATATATATGCATGGTGATCTAATGTGTTTGTCTTTTAACTCACTAGAGGTTCTACTTTTATGTTCATTTAATCTTGTGTTAAAATGTCCATAATATAATACCTTTTCTAATTGGACGCATGTAGTGTTTATGGGAATGGATCATTCCCCTCAATAATACAACTATTATCACTTGGTGAGATTTTATGTCTTCAAGTTTTTTTTTTAAGCTCTATTATTGTTTCCTTCAAGAGAGATGTTTTAACGAGCATTCAAAAAAGTAAAAAGTATAACCTAATTTTAACTTTTAATTGCTAGGCACTCCAATGACATTCACAATAGAATAAAATAAAGCTAATTCAATATTAAAATATTAATTTATGCTTGCAATTAAGAAAGAGAAAAATAAAGATAAAAATAAATGTCCAAAAGTTCTTTTTGTTAATTTGTGGCTGTGTAGATATCTTTTCCACCTAATTATATATATATATGCTCTGCATACTTCCTTTAATACTCACTTTGTGTGACCTAATTTTACACCTTTTATTATTAAGAATCCGCAATAAATCGTTATTCACAGAGTATTACGTGCAAATTAAAATTCACATGAAAATTTGCGGAAAATGTATTTTTTGCAAATTTTTAATAAAAATTCGTAAAAAAATATGTACGTAGTGAAGGATTTTCTAGTAGAGTATATATTATAATAGTTTTTTAAAAAAATGGAGAAAAATAATGGAGATTGAAGAGAAATAGAACGTCAAATAAGTTGACTTAAGTTATGGTGGAAGCGCGCAAACCGTGGAATAAGCTTTAACAGCTACTCTGCAAGAAAGAATAAATAAGCATATAATATTTGAACGCACAATTCAATTTAAAATTTAAATTAATTAAAAATATTGCACTTAAGTTGACATACCTTGAATTTAGCTTCCATAACAGAAAAGTAGATAATTCTGAATGTTTTAACACAAAAAATATGAAATAAGCAACAATAAGAGGAAAACTAAAGAAAAAGAATGGAGAAAATAGAGACACAAACATAAGAAGTGAACTTGAGTGTTGTACTTAAAATCCACCAAAGACAAACATATCCTATCATAGCAATAACAATGAACATGAGTCTAAATATCAAATCTAAATGACTAATTAATAATTATTGATGTATTAAAAAATTTTAATTGTTTGAGTGAATCACATATAAAATTTATTTAATTAATAATTATCGATACGAGTTAGAAATATTTTTAAATTTTTTTATTAAAAATAAAAAGTATTTTTTGGTTAAAACAATTCTAAAAAAAATACTTTATATATATACAACATACTTTTAATAAATAAATAAATAAAGTTAGGAACCAATGCAACATACATTGCATAAATTAATTGCAAAACAAATATATTTACTACTTAGAATGTAGAAGAAAGAAACTTCGGATGGATTGCAAGCTCAATATCAACTCTAATTCTTTCTATGTAAGATTTATATTGGATTATATTGTATATCTTAATACAAATGACTACAATAGTAATAATAATGATATTAATAATAATAATAATTATTGGTATGTAATGTTAACAAAGGATAATATTGTAATAATATATATAATAACAATTATGGCATAATAATAATAACCTTAATGATTAGTGATGATAATGTTAAAGTAATATGGGATATGCTATACGGGTTATGCTCTCATGCATAATTCTTGAGATTATTTCCTCAATTAGAATATTTAATTTGGCGTATATTTTGTCCGTTTTAATTCTCCTTTATTGTAGAATAATACCAAATCATATCAAGGATATGAGAGAGATAATTTAGCCTGTATACTTGTATATAATTACCTATTGATCAATAGAATGGGAGACGATTCTTTTCTATAACTTTATTATAAAGTGACAATAATGATATGCTAACTCAATCTTATATCGATGGTGATAATGAAGGAGAAAAAACAAGGTAAAAAGATATAATTATAAAATAAATATAAATATAATTATTTTAATATTTTATGCTGTGGAAAATTTGTCTCATATAGTTAATTGAATAATAAAAGATTAGGTTTTTTATTTGTGTTATCTCATAATTTATTTAAAATAAAAAATAATAATTATATTGGTTGTGTTCACTAACGTGTTGCTGTACTCCATTTTCGTATTCCTCCTATATATGTAGAATCCCCGTCTAGTTTTTCACACTCACAAATAACATGGAACCAAGAAAGATCCTGACCCTCATAGTCACACTCGTAGCCCTATCCTTCACTCCAGCAGCACTCTCGGAACTATGCAACCCACAAGACAAACAAGCCCTCCTCCGAATCAAGAAAGAGCTTGGCAACCCAACCACCCTCTCCTCTTGCCACCCAACCACTCATTGCTGCAACATATGGCAAGGTGTCTCATGCGACACAGACACCAAAACATACCGCGTCACCGACCTCGACCTCTCCAACCTTAACCTCCCCAAACCCTACCCTATTCCCTTCTCCATCGCCAACCTTCCCTACTTTAACTTACTTTCCATAACACCACCCCCAACCTCGTTGGCCCAATCCCCCCCTCCCTCGCCAAACTCGCCTACCTCCATTTTTTCTACATCACCCACACCAACGTCTCCGGCCAGATACCCCATTTCTTGTCCCGAATCAAAACCCTCGTCACCATCCAATTCTCCTACAACCAACTCTCCGGCACCCTCCCTGCTTCCCTCTCTTTGCTCCCCAACCTCCTCCTAATCTCCTTCGCCGGCAACCGCATCTCCGGCGCCATCCCCGACTCCTACGCCTCCTTGTCGAGCAAGGTCGCGGCGATGGTGCTCTCCCGCAACCGTCTCACCGGGAGGATTCCGCCGAAGCTTGACATCGTGTTCCTGGACTTGTCTCATAATATGCTGGAGGGTGACGCGTCGGTGCTGTTTGGGGCGAATAAGAAAAAACACGCAGGAAATAAATCTGGCGAAGAATATGCTTGCTTTTGATTTTGGAAAAGCAGTGTCGCCGGAGAACTTGTAGGGGTTGGATCTTAGGAACAACCGTATCTATGGGACCCTGCCTAAGGGACTTACGGCGCTTAAGCATCTTAAGATGTTTAATGTTAGCTACACTAATCTGTGTAGTCAGATTCCACGTGGTCGCAACTTGCAAAGATTTGATGCGTCTTCCTTCGCTCATAACAAATGCTTGTGTGCCTCTCCTCTTCCCGCATGCACATGATCACTCACCTTACACTACTTTGGACGAACAAAATAGGTATTATACATGGATGCATGGATAATGTGCTTCTCCTTCCAGTTCCACTCACGTGCTTTTATGTCCTTATTAATCCACGTTTAACCTATGTTTTCATATTATAATAATAGTACCTATTCTAGTGTGGCGCAATCGCGTCTGTCGTTTAGTGGATTGATTTCAATTGCAGATGATCTCAGCCATTAAAAAACTACTACTATTAAACATTGATAATTTTTTATAGCCTATTAGTAATTTACTGGATGGCCTGTAGTTGAAATTTTAACCGCAGAGGACCCTTTTTCATAATTTAGAAAGATTTATTATTTTTATTATATTTTTATTTTAATATCTAAATCTATTTTTTTTTAATGAATATAGTTCATGTACAGATCTTTCATTCTCATCTAAGTGCAAGCTATTAACTTCTAGACGTATCCCGTGATGAGTACAGACAAAAACGTAAATGAGTAAGCAACATATAACGGTGTATTTAGATCGAAGTTGAATGAAGGTAAACGAGTTAAACTTCGTTTTTTTGCTTTAGAATGTGGGAAATGCTGTCTGGGTTGTTTCAAACTTATTCCCATACATATACACCAAGTATCCAATCGGAAAAAAGACACTGTGCTTGATGTTTCCCAAGAAACTCACGCTATATTGCTAAACTACTTGGCTTTAGATTGTAATTTAGAGATCGATAAATGAGAAGTACAGATAACTACAGATTTAATATATATGTTGATATATGAATTTTTTTTACAAATTTTTAATGAAGTCTTTAAATTAAAAAAATTATAATTAAATCCTTAATCTTTTTATTTTTATAATTTAGTCCACAAAGTTATAGACTGATACATGTAGTTTTACAAAATATTATCTATATCATCATAGTTGAAAAGTCACATTACACAATTGTTATATGCCATCATTCATGTGTAATTTTTGTTTAATCCCTACATGCGAAGTTGCGAACATACGCGACAAGTCCCTAATTATATTATTGTATGGCAATTTGCTTCTAGTTACTCATTCAAATACCATGTAACATCCAATAAATCTCCTTCCAGAGTTTCTCATTGTCGTAGAACTTAAACGAACCACAATAGCAAAAGCTAGCAAATTGTCTCCTGCTAGTTGTTTGAGTAGAGGACGAAGCTTGAGACATGATCACAACCAAACGATGCTCGAAAATGAAGGAAAGGGAACAGAAACCAAACGGAGAAGTAAAGTGTAAAAGATGGTGAATGGGAAAGGAAATGAATAACAGCCATCAATATAGTACAAACAACACTATTCACCTTTCGATAGATCTCGGGTAGCTGAGACAACGGAAAATTGCATTTCAAATACTATCCGATTAATGTCTTATGGCAAACAAATTAATAATCAAGATCACAAATTACTATACAACATGGATCTCCCAATTGAAAAACAAAAAAAGGCTTACGATGAATAAATATTCAAGAATCAAGAGCACAAGATCGAGAAACTACTCTAATAATAACTTAATGAATGGTTCTAGGTCTATTAGTTTTAGTTGGTATTTTGGATTTGGTGCGGGGAGCCCTCTTTGGAGCCTCTGTAGTTAATGCATACATCTTCACAGCAAATAATCCTTCTGGGAATCCTTTCTGATCCTGATTCAACAAAACTCAAATGGATTGGCAAAAAGCGTGTAGCAAGATACAAGGGACTCCCAATAATACATGGACAAGGAAAATAAATAAAAAGGTACATACACATCTGCACATGGAAATATCCTTTTAAAGCAGAACGATAGCGTTGACACAGATAATTAAATGTAACTTTTCAGGCAACATAAGATACGATTCTTCATAATTAGAATATGTGAATTCCCGGGGATGTAGGGGACCATGCAGATATGGGGAGGGAAGAAATTTCAAAAGGATGTTGAAAATAATATCTCCAAGACGCTGAGTTCTATTTTATTTCTAACTTCTAATTAAGAAAATTAAAATGTAAGAGATATCATAAAGAAACCTAGTATATATGCTATTTACCTTTGATTTGTAAACATGCAATCCGCATCGAGAAAATAGCTCTTTGAAGTATAAATCAGATCTTGTAACGCTTCGGTCTTCATTATCAAGCACAAATCCTGCACAGAACAAAGCATGAAAGCAATGATCCAAAACCATAAAGTAAACCTCCACTTAAACTGAATGGAACACGGATAAATTAGTTCATCACAGTGAAGAAAATTAATTTCTACAACATCTTTCAACCCAATATTATTATTTGGAGTTTACAACAGGATGGGCTTGAGTGGGCTATCCTCTCTCCTCCACTGTTTGAAAGCTATGATAGAAAATGCAGGAAATAAATCCTTCAGTATGACTAGAAAGACAGAAAACAATAATGATGAAATTACCAGATCTAGCAATATTCTCCTTCAGGACAAACAATCCACCTGGTTTTAGGCCATCCTACAGTAATGTATATGACTAAATGTCAAAATGCCATCAAAATCAAAATAAATATATGAAAGTGATAAATTTGTATGACGACAATTCAAGTCATCAACAACAGTAATGACAGGAAAATCCCTGCACACTATTTGAATTACCACCAAAAAAATGAAAAAGACATTATCAACTTTCCAATCTATTGATGTAGGTATAAATTATAATAGCTTGAATCCAACAAAACCATCACAAGATTACAAATAAAATGAACTTAATATGGTTAATGTTAAACCAATGAAAGCTACAAAAGCATCAATCTTTAATAGTGGTAACTGGTAAGATAAATTACATACAAACTTTCAGATTATCAAATATTTCTGCATACTTAAATTACGAATAAAAGGTACAGTTTCTCCTGTGGCCAAATTCATTTATACATATAGTGAAGAGAATATGTTTTGATAGTATAGAAACAGAAAGACTCCTTCATATAGAATAGCTGTATATATAATACATATTTTTAGAAAAGGTGACCAATATCTTCCTATCTAATCTCAGTTGGCGCAATAATGCAAGACTTGAAAATTACTAGCAAGTACCAAGGCAAATCACATATATGGCAAATGTGAATGAAAAAGAACGATGTTAATCATAGGTGAGCAGAAATAGTCGATAAACTAGATTACTTTATCAAGCATGATGCAACTACACGTCTTTTGAATTCTAAAGAAATGGTACATAAAGCTGAATCCTCAAATTACGAATAAAAGGTACAGTTTCTCCTATGGCCAAATTCATTTATACATATAGTGTAAGAGAATATGTTTTGATAGTATAGAAACAGAAAGACTTCTTCATATAGAATAGCTGTATATATAATACATATTTTTAGAAAAGGTGACCAATATCTTCCTATCTAATCTCAGTTACTGCAATAATGCAAGACTTGAAAATTACTAGCAAGTACCAAGGCAAATCACATATATGGGAAATGTGAATGAAAAAGAACGATATTAATCATAGGTGAGCAGAAATAGTCGACAAACTAGATTACTTTATCAAGCATGATGCAACTACACGTCTTTTGAATTCTAAAGAAATGGTACATAAAGCTGAATCCTCAAGTAAATACTTAATTATGTAGAATTCCCTAACAAAATTACTTATTTTAAATGTATTCATTGACTATTAAATACCCAATATGAAGAGAATATTGATTGGACGACTTACCTTTGCTCTCTTGAAAAATGAAACAAAATCATCATCTGTAAGATGACCAATACACCATTGAATCCATATTACGTCATATCTTCCAGTATCTGGTGTAAAATCCTAAAACAAGGGAAAGCAAGAGGTGCTCAATAACATTACTAAAGAATAGGCCAAAAGTGGTGCTAAAATTATTTAATACCAGACAAATATCTAAAGTGCCACATTAGCTTGAATTTTTCTACTTATCACTTATACAAATGGACAAAAAAATACATATCTTCTTATTTATTTTGGGAGCAGAGGTGGGGGTAGGTAGAGGGAGCAGCCATTAAATTTGTAATATGTGTTATAGAGGTCTATAAGAGCATTTAAACTAGTATGTAGCTACTTCAATGCCTACATCTTTATGAAGAATGTAAGTTTCCAAATAATTATGAAGAATGCCTACTTCAGTCAGAAAATATGGAGAAAAACACGAGAGAAAAAAAACTGGTGTTTTTTTTTAAAAAAATAATAATATAGAGAACCATTTAAGAGTCTAAACTATTGAAGTAACTTCTTAAAATTATAAGAAACGCTATTCTTCCTAATATTCAATAAAAAAAATGATTAGAAATGCCAGTTTCCAGGTAATTATTTACTTGTTAGATGTGAAAGGCCATAAAAATAAAACATACACCAAATATTGCCTGTGAAAACTTAGTGTCCCATAACAGCCAAAAAAATTATGGAAAAAAAAAAAAAACTGGATTACTAAAAAAGTAAAATTATAGAGGTCCAGTTCATAAAAAGGTCTGAATTATTGAACATTTTTAATTATAAGAAAATCTAGTCTTTCTATTATTCAATCAAAAAATGATAAATAAAAAGATTAACATACATCAAAGCTCAAATAAAGACATCAAGAGATCCACACTTTTGTGAACTGTCAATGACTTCAAGTTTGAATACACATTATACTAAGCTTAACAAGAGCAGCAAGCAAAAATTTTGTGGCAGTATGCAATATATGCTGATCCTTGGAGTATTTGGTTGGAGCACCATTCTTGCATTTTTAAGAAAATTTCTTTGGATGACCAACTCCTTTGGGTAAGATTAGCCATTTGGCTTCTACATGGTGTAAAGCCCATGGTCTTTTGAGATGGCTATTGCCTACAGCAATGCTGAGAGATTAGACAGTTCTGCTCTATTAATGTTATTCTTTTTTATTCTCTACCTGTACCCTTTTTAATTTTGTAAGGAGGATTTCTTATCATCCCAGAAAAATAAAAGTAAAAATAAAGGAGAAAAGTGGAAAAATTACAAAGCCAGAATAAAAAGTCAAATATCAAATAATCAGCTATCCTGATTATTGGAATTGTGTGAATATTAGTTATTTTGTCTATTCTATTCATTTATTGTAATGGTTGGAGTGTTGCACTCATGTGACTTGTCCAACCCATCCCTAGACCCCAACAAGGTGGGATCTTTATAGCATCAGGTTGCACACCATTTTAATATGGCTAGTGTCTAATTCAACTCCATTTGTATAAGTAAGGCACATGTTAAGGATCAATCAGAAGAGGGGTAATCAATCTCCAAAATGTTATTCAAATTGATCAAATAGTGTTCACAATGACCAACTTCATTCTTATGTACTCTACAGGGAATATAGGGTGGTACCCTGTTTAGATGCCAATTCCACACCCTTTTCATACCCATATCACAATTCTCTAACCTACAAAAAGGTGAAGTACACACCTGAAGAGGAACACAATAAAAATTAACAGCCTTATGCATATCTGAATTTGTCGGACATCCCAGACCCAAAGTTTCACGTGCAGTCTCTAAAAAATGTGATACTGGCTCCAGAAGATCAACCTGAATTTTATAACAAACAAGAAAACAAAAGGCCATATATCAAGGATGAAGGAATTCCAGATTGAATTTTTAAAAAATAAAAATAGACAATGTAAGAGAGGCTAAAACACGTGACTACATGAGGGGCACATCAGATCACATCTCTAATGAGCCATAAGTAAGAAAAAATTAAATAAAACTAGAGGGGAAAAGATGAGAGAGAAGCAAAAAGAATAAAAGAGGTGCAGACATTGGCATTCAGTAAGGACGCCAATATCAGAATTCAGAAGCAATCAACCATACAAGGTAACTCTTCATTTTAGTAAAAGCTTGGAATTAAAAATGCATTTTTACATACTTGGTTAGAATTTAAATGGAATATTTTTTAGCATATCTTCATTGTTAGAACAAGGCCACGCCACGACACTAAAATGCTCAATCTGAACACAACCAGAATAGTTATATAGCTTCACCAAACAGGCTAACATAACCTATTTATAGTTATATAGCTTCACCAAACCCATGTAACTCAGTTCATGTAAAATATAAAAACTTATTTTAGATTCTTCACTATAACACGATCCCTGCTTCTTTTCCTAAACCTTAGTCCTTACCCTTTTGAATAGGATAATTACTTGATATCCCAGAAGCTGTTAAGCCTGGATTTGATACATGCATGGGACGAAGCCAATCTCGCTCCACAAATAAATTTGATACAACCTGAGCTGGTTAGACTTATACCAAGCAGTTAAGCCTGGATTTGATATCCCAGAAGCTGTAAAGCCTGGATTTGATACATGCATGGGACGAAGCCAATCTCACTCCACAAATAAATTTGATACAACCTGAGCTGGTTAGACTTATACCAAGCAGTACACTTCAAATATATAGAAATAGAAGCTTCTAACTACTATGGTTTATTCCCTACTTGTTTGAGCTCAGAACTAGGGTATGTGTTAACTAAAGAAGGCTTAAACTATAACAAGAGTAGTGCCACCAAAGCACAATGATATGGTAAAAACAGATTCAATCCAGCACTAAAAACAAATTGCTTGCAAATTTCATTATATTTTTCTCTACACTAACATCATATTAAACAGAGAAGTATAGTATAGCTTCATTATCCCACTACTTCTCCATTTAGTGTGTTTTGTAGTCTCTCAAACATACCAACATATAGTTAGCTTCCAAATATAAGCATAATCCCAGACAAGAAAAGTCCCCCAATATTTTTGGTATTGTAAACATAGAAACAACAGATGCTCCTTTGACTTTCCATTATAAATGTAGCACCAATAACAATTACTCAATAGAAGCATCATCAGTTACGAACTATAAAAACAAAAGACACATTATGAATGAGCAAGCCAACAGATTGACTCAGAAAGATGTATGTGAGGAAGGTAAATCTGACAAACCTCATTGAAGTATCTTATTAACAGATTTTTTGTGACTCTACCAATGCCAGAACCACAATCTGGAATTCAAGAGTTTGCTGATTAGATCTTCAGTGTATAAAAATTAAATAATTAAAGCAATTCTTGTATTACATTCACAGAAAGCAGGAACCTAATGTCATGTTTCCCAAAGACACTCTAGAAAATAATCTAAAACACAGCAGCCATCTTTCCCAAGGGGAAAAATCAAATAAAACCCCAGCTAAAATCCCATTCCATTTGAAAATCTATGAAACAGCATCATCAAGAAGCACATTGGTTCTCACATGTTGGCTTCAAGAGACGAACCAATTTCATCGAGAACTATGCTGGATCTCACAAGTGGGGTTCAATAAATGAACAGATATCATCAAGAACTGCATTAGATTTTGCTAGAGATCTCACATCAACTAAAGGTATGACCAAAATAGTGTATATAATTGGGAAACAATCTTGACATTACAAATTAGTTTTGTACTATTGAGTTAGGTTTTATTGAATTTATACATCTTAAAAATGTGAATTTGGGCCTAATTTAACTTTGGACATCCACTATGCGTATAGGCAAAATAGTATATAAGTGGGATACAACTATCACCGGTTTAGTATGGTGGAGTTAAGTTTCGATAGGATTTAGGATTTACACTTCGTAAAAAAGCTAATTTGTGTATCACTCAACTCTACAATACACACTATTTGGGCCATAGCACTAGCCAATATGAAATCTCTACTAGTTCTCACAAATGCAGCTAGTAAAATGAAGCAATGTCAGCAAAAACAACATTGGTTTTCAGAAGTGGGTGGGGTCCAATAACAAAGAGGCAAAGAGTGAGTACCAAGAGCAACGAGTGGTTGGCGTCTAGCATCAGCAGAAAAACGTTCTGATAAGAGAGTGTTCAAAAAATCCTCACTGCAACTTATGTCAGGCTCATTCACATTCGCAAACCCTCCCAACACCCCATCCACCGTTGCCGTAACACCCTGCTCTTGCAAACAATAAAAAAAGCAAACTTTAAAACAACATGTTAATTGCAACCTGGAAGTAACTAGAATCATAGACCACCCATCCAAATTTTCTGTCTTTGTTAGCAAAAGAGAAACCCATTAAGAAAGAGAGAGAGGGATACCTCCCAATAGGAGACGCCGTCGCGATACCACTGAGTCTTCTTGCTAGGGTCACCCACCTGTTCCCTCCACATTTCGCCGGCGGTGTCGAATTCGCGGCCATCGGAATCTAAGCCGGCGGCGTCCATGCAGCTTATTTTTCGGTTCGGGGCGAAAGAGAAGGAAGAAAATTGCGAAGCGACAGAGAGTTCCCGAGTGCGAAAAAGAGAAAAAGAAGGAACCCAATAACAACACAACATAGTCGAGCCCAAATTCTTGTGTCGCGCTATTCTTCTGCGTCAAAAAATAAAATAAATTAAAAACAAAAAATATAATACTTTTTAGGTTACAAAACAATATTTTGAATACAACACTGTGTAAATTATTTGTTTTAACAAAAATTTAATAATTCTTTAAAAAAAATTATAAAATTATTTCTAATTAATTAAGAATGTAGAATGACGTGACAGAAAAATAATATATATTATTTAATAATAATAAATATGTATAATTTTGATTCTTATTTAATATATATACATTATAATTTTTATTTGTATATTATGAAAACTTGTTATCTTAGTAATTAAGTGTCGTTGAAATTTATGACGAGAGGAGGAGATATTGTTGAATTCTATCCCTATCATTTTTTCTTAATTTTGCATTTCACATTATCACATTATCTATAGTGTTATGTGAATAAAATCTATTAAATTGAAAATGAAACATTGATAGAGATATAAAAACCACACAAGTATAATATTTATAGGACAACAATAACTCACTTTTTATGGTACAACGAAATATAGAAAAAAAAAACCTAAATTCTTTGGTAAAGTCTAATTATGAAAACAAAATAAAACAAAATGAGATGAAAAGTAGCAAAAGATTTTGTTATATTGTTTGAAAATATTAAGTTGAATATACATGCTTTCTAACCTCATATCCTTCAAACAATACACTGAATGTTGAACAAACAATAATTTATATATAATTAATAATTCCATGTAATTGTTGAAATGTTTGATTGTCATTAACTTTGTTTCACAAGTAAATAGTAGTATTATATTATTGAATTGTATAATAATGTTTAACTACTTTTGAAATAAAATTAATAATACCTATACATGTAATTTTTTTTCCTGTGAAAAAGATTACAAGTTTTCGTATATTTATTCTAACTCTTTTATTATTAGACCAATCCTAATACTTTATTTAGACAAGTAATTAACAAGTGTGCGTGAGCTTTACTTTATCTTTGATCATTAAGGGCTCCCTTATGAATTCTATCCAATAATACAAAAAATGCTAAAATTTAAATTCTATTATCTAGTATTTTTCTCTCAATCTACATTCTATTTCGATTGAAGGATTGCAACAAAAACAAGTCTGATTAATTTATTTATATTTTAATTATTTTTTTTTAGTGAAAATTCGAAAAGCGAAGAGAACTAATTAACGGGGGAAGGAAAGAAATGAAGCACCCATCCATTCCATTTTGTAAGCTGGTGATTAAGGAGGAATAAAAGCATAATGACGGATAAATTTCATCTCCTTTCTTAAGTAAGGAAGGTATTTAGTGCATCTTTAATGGAAGTAACTTATTTAAGATGTTTCATGCATTAAAAAATAAAAAAAGTGGTCCTTAGTATAACATGTCAGCATTAAACAACTCAAACACAAATTTACTCAAATAGTATGAAATTTTAATAAATTCAACTTTTAAAATATTTTTTAATCATTTATGAAGTAAATTTAAATTTTTATTGAAAAGAATAATTGTACTACAATGAAAGAAAATAAATTACGAGAAAAAATAAACAATAAGTAGATATTAAAAATAAAATAAAGCAATAGTAAATACATAAATATTATAAGAAAATTAATTTTCCTTATTATTATTTCTAAAACGTTCTCAACTATGTTCAATAAGATCTGCTTGAAATCTAGTATGGAACGATTGCTTGAGGAAACAACTTTCTCTCTTTTTCAAGCAACTCATGTTGTCACGTCAAAGTCCTTCAACGACAAAAAATTAGGACTTGAGTTACTTCATGGGACATGCAACTCCCATTAGAGTTGCTCTTATACACACTTTTTTTCTTCTTCTATATAATCAAATACAGGAAAATAACTTTTTTTTCCTTTCATTTCTATTTTTCTTTTACTTTGGTTGCTTTCATTTCCCCCCTTAAATCAACATATCCTTATTGATGATGATGTACACTTCACTCCAGCCAGGTTACCATAATATTTTTTCATTAAAAAAAACCTTATAGTATGTTTAGATGAGGGGTTTTATAAATTTAAGAAATTTTAAATTCTTGGTATTTAAATTACTTTGATTTCAATTTTTATCATTCTTAAAATATTTTATTTAGATAAGTCAATTCAAATTTCTTAAATTATTTGTTTGAATATGATAATTTAATTCCATCATGGTAAAATTAATTTTAAAAATATATTTATATATTGAAATTTTTAAATTAAATTTTATAAAAATAAATATTGGCTCATTTTTAAATATTTAATAATTTTAAAAATTAATATTAGATAATATTTAATAATTTTAAAAATATCTTTGAATATTCAATAATTAAAAACATGAAGAGATAAGGGACAAAATAAAATATATAAGTGAAATAAGAAAAAAAAAATATGAGTATTGGAAAAAATCCAAGTCCCACATCGACTACGATTTTGTAGGGTCAAGTTATGCTTAAATCCATTATTCTAAGATAGTATCATAATCATTTAAATCCACTTTTAATAGGTCACCTACCATTGATACATGTGCCATGAGCATGAAGGGGTGTATTGAGAAAAACTAAAGTCTCGTTAATCTTAGATCATTAAAAAGAGTCACCTACTATTTATCCACGTATCAAGCCCAATAGTGCTGGACGTGAGGGGGTGTATTAGGAAAAATTCAAGCCCTACATCAACTAAGGATTATGCAATTAAATAGTATATAAATAGAAAGCAACCATTACCTTACAAGCTAGTTTTATAGAATTGAGTTAAATTTAAATCCATTATTCTAAGAATGATAAATTTCAAATTCTTACTTTTTTTTTTTTTAAGAATTTGAAATTTTACTATTTCAATAAATTTCACAAATATTTAAATTTCAAATTCTTTATAAATTCTCTATCCAAACAAGACATTTCACTTCAAAAAATTTAAAATTCTTTAAATAAATAAATTACTTCATTTAAATTTTCCATCCAAATATACTTATTAATGTTTTTATATCATGTCCACCAGATTGAACTTAAAAGCTCATAATCATGAGTTACATTTAAATAAATCATATAGATATGAAATATATTAAGCAAAGATACCGTAAGAAAATGGATGTTAGTTAATTCGAGTTGTCACTTTATCATAGCACTTCATCTCAATCTCACATTATCCATTTTGATAACTTTAATCATGAATTTGACGGAAAAAAGAAAATTGTGACCATTAATTCGAAAAGTAGAGATTGTGTATTAACAATCGTACATGACCAAACTTAAAGGGTAAATTGTATTTCATCTGAGAGAGGGTTTGCAAAATCAATGATGGTTTACAACATATTTTATCATTGTACAATACAAAATCTTCAAGTTATCAGTTCAGCTAACAGTTCGACTTAAAACTAAATACAATTATAATATAGCGAATCAAATTATCAAAATAACAGCTCGCAAGTCAGAACAGAGACAACACTAGTTCTAAGAATTTATTCTGCAGAAAACACCCACTGATATGATGACTTATCAGGTTTGAACATGCACGTGTCCCTTAAATTTCTCCCCGTGAAATATTCTATGATTTACAGATACAAGGGTAGCCTTGTAGGCTCTTGCTATAGTGTTAAATATCATAGCAAAGCTTGGCTTCTCATTGTTTGATTGGTCTATGCACATTAATCCCAGTGATAGAACCTGTTTAACTTGATGAAAATTTGTTTCAGTTACTTCCATTCTCTCATCAATCTTCTGTTGCAAATCTTCTGGATTAAGGGTTCTCATGTACCTAATAAATCCAGCATGACCTTCATCAAACTCCTCTTTAACCTTTCTGTTTAGTATCATCTCTAGCAGGAATACTCCAACCCTATATATCTCTACAATATAAGAAAGAAAATACCAATTAGCAAACAAGCCATAAATTACAAGATAAAGTCAAAGACAACACAAGAGAAGAAATATTTATTTTGTGCTAATATTCTATTATTCTTACTTCTTCGATTGTTGTTTTGATCTACAACTTTGAACCTCGAAATTAACGGTTCCATATTGTCAGACAATAAAATACTACTTGTGTTGAGTTCATAGTCAACCTCAGGCCATTCCTCATGCAGATAACGCATGCATTCAATAACTCCCATTAACACTTTCAATCTATGATTCCATGGTGGACCCGACCCTGATAACCACATTTCAACATTTTCTTCTTTTGTCCATTCTGTTATAATGGCTCTGAATTTTCTGCTCCTACACCACCCCATAACTCTAACAAGGTTCTTGTGGTGTAACTTACACAAAACCTTACATTCTTCAACAAATTTACGATAACTATCCCTTGGTATATCATCAAAGTACATCTCAATTTTCACTTCAGTACCATCTCTCAAGATCCCTTTGTATATGTGAACAACATCACTCATCCCCATCAAATTCTCGTTTGAAAAATCAGCAGTTGCTGCCTTTAGAATTGCTGGTGTAAACCTCATACTTGTTTGAAGTTTTCTTGGTAAAATATCAGGCCTTTGGAAACAAAGCCATACCAAGCCAATCACCATCAAAATGACAAGGATGGGAAAGCCAACCAATAGAACAACAGCCTTTAGTGTAAACCTTTTGCGATCCAAGAGAGCACCAGAGTGAAGAAAACTAGAAGAGTTAAACCTTTTGAAGAAATGGGAATCAGACAGTTTACTCTCTGAAAAGCAGTTATAGGAGAGGTTCAGAAAAGTGAGGTTGATCAAGGGAGAGAAACTTTGAATTGGAATGTCCCCAGAAAATGCATTGGTACTTAGATCAAGAGACTGGATTTGGGTGCAATGGAGAACATCAATTGGAAAATCACCCTTCATGGAATTGTTGGACAAATCAATGGACATAATGGTCAAGGGGCAATACTTCCAAAAGAAACCAAAGGACAAATAAAGCGGTGCAATATTGGGGCGGTTTCTGAGATCAACTTTGGGGAATGACTCCACACAATTGGGGTTCTTTGATTCATTGCAGAGATGGCTTGCAACAATAGTGAATTTGAATATTTCATCAAGGTCCGTCATGGGTGAGGAACTGCAGTACCTAAGAGATGGGTTCTTGAGACAGTTGGATAAAATTGTAGAGTTAAAATCTGGAGGTTGATGTAAGTTTTTGAGATCTTCTATAACTGTTGCACATAGTGTTGTGGGGCATAACGATAAAATTATGGGAAGCAATAGGTACCAAGTTGAAGAAATGGTAGCCATGATCATGAATAAGTTAATTTTGAAGCATTTGATTTTGGGATAACAAGCACTCAAATTTGGATATGAAGTTCGCAAAAGGAAACTAATTTAAAGTTAGTGCCGCTTGTTTTCCGTTAACTGTTGTCGTCACTTTGAAATTCTTAAAAATAATCTATAATATACAAAGTGATATCTTTTTTAATAACTACTTTACTCTTCATAATTTTTTTTATCTTTTAAAAAAATTAAAAAAAATATTATTTTTTAAAATTTTAAAAATTTAAAATTAATAAATTAATTATAATACCAATTAAATCAATATATTTTTATTATTTTATTTTAATTTTAATTTTATTTTTAATAAAAGTGAATGGAGTATCACTTTTTTTTATTTTTTAAAAAAATTTCCTAATAAATTTAATTTATATTGATATATAAAAGAAATACACTTTTTAATAACCACTTTAATTTTTACATTTTATTAATTATTATATTCTTTTATTTTAAAAATTAAAAAATAATATTTTTAATCAAATTCAAAAACTTAAAATTAATAGATTAATTATAATATCAAATAGACTAATATAATTTTATTACTTAATTTTAATTTTAATTTTAATTTTAAAATATCTTGATCTTAATAATAACAATAATTTTTATTTAAATTCTTCATTCTTTACTAAAAAGAATTTCATTAATTACTAGGGTTAACCTAGTAGTTGAGTTGGGAGGAATTAAGGTAGTTAGAAGCATGAGGACCTAAGTTCAATCTTTATTGTGACTATCTTTGTAATATTTCTTATCTTTACAAAAAAAAAAAATTCATTCAAACAAGAGAAAATAAACTTGAAAATTTGTTTAATTTTAATTTTTAAAAAATATTTTCTGTGAAAACGTTTTTAAAAATAACTCAATTTTAAAAACATAAAAACGCACTTTCAATCGACAACGCCGACAGTACTAATATCACAACAATTATTGAATTTTTTCTCTCTTGTCAATTCTCTTTTTCTATTTTTTCTTAAATTGGTTCATAACTTTCTTGAAACTACTTTTTTTATATATAGAATTAAAACTACTATTTTATCTCTTTATTATAATCATAATTTAACTGAAGTTATGAACCGTTTTGTTACTATCTTTACAATCTTTTAGTTTTAGTTTATTCATTAAACATTTTGTTATTTCATATATTTGTTGTTACGTTATTATATATGTATATATATATATATAAGAAAGTGTGTATTACGTATAATTTAATTTAATTTTTTATACATATAATTCAATTCACTAAATATCTTATATATTATATACATTAATTCAATTAAAAATTAATATTTTAATGTAATTAATGTGAATAAAAGATATTTTATAATTTATTTTACATGATTATTTTATAGATTTTTAATTTCATATATAATATATTATTTAGTTTAATTTTTCTTGACAAAATATATTATTTGTTTATTATAATTAAATATTAATTTTCAAATATGTTCAATCGAATAATGATTGTTATTTTTAAAGATAAAGAGTATTGATTTTATATATATATCATTCTAAGTG